CCCCAAAACAGTCATCATTCTTGCAAAGTAGTGCAATACTTGAAATAGTTTCCTTTCCTTTTTATTTTATTTTTTATTAAAGTAACAAAATGTTGGTTTGTGAAAAACAATGTATGTTATATATTTAAGTTACTGATATGTTTAGTTGCTTTTATCACAAACAAAATAATGAATGTAATTAGCCTACACCCAGCGTTGAGTCACACACAGAAACCATGCATGTATAACAGACATTGTAATCCTTGCTACACTCATGACACACATACAGACGCACACTGACAAATTTCACACGAACACACCCTTAGAGACACAGCATGGAAAAGATCCAGGCTGAGGCTGGTCGTGAGTACTGAGCATATCATTTGTGGGCCGGCTGCTAAGTGAACACACTTGCCTGTAGTTACCCAGTTTCACACAAAAATGGCTCTGACTTTTCTTGTCGGTATGGAGCAAGATGGGCCTGATAAGTGCTCAGCATTTTGGGCTAAACCAGTCTGGCTATGTGGATTAGCTGGCGTCACTCATGTTTTTCCAGTTTCACTGCATCCTAAGGCCTTCTACTTAACATGAGTATAGCAAGTATAAATATATATATTATGTTTTTGTGTACTCGTAGTGTGTCTGCGGATGGATGTCTCCCCCACAAAGCACGCAGTACATTAATGTGACTGACATGTCGTCTTTTTTCAATCTTGGCTCACTTGCCCTACACATTGCAAAAGCCTCTGAAAACAAAGAGCTCCAGTCATGCTAAAGCTTGGATAGTCACCTTCCCAAACACTGCCAGGGGTTCCTACCACACCTCGTCATAGCAACGGTTGCTATGTTTAGCTCTACCTGTATATTTTGCCACTGAGTGAAAATGTATGATCAAACTCTATGGTATTTTGTTTGCCTCTGTTGTAATAAGGGATGCAGTATGTTGCTGTGAATCCATCTCTGCAGTGGGAGAAGCACAGACACATTGATCCCTGGGTAAATGTGGGCGAGCTTAGTGAGGACAGGCAGTTCTTGTTTGAGTCGGGGGGTTTTATATGTTGACCCTGCTTACTGACATATAGGCCTAGTATTTCCAAAACACTCACACGTTCACACAATTAAATTCCATTTACAAATGAGGGGCCAGAATAGCAGGTTAATAGCTGTGTGCTTTAATAAACCACCTGCTGGTGTAGTGATGGCCAATGGTTTTTTCCTCTCCAGAAAAGCAATTTATATAATCTTTTCGGCTGTGGTATTTCTACCAAGACACAGTCACCAATTATGTGTCAGATGTAGATGTAGGGAACGAGATCTAACTGTGTGTGTGTGCACATATTTGTATGTGTCTATGTTTGTATGTGTGCTTTGTTGTGGACTGGGCCTGTGGGCTCCTGGCTCAGAGATGAAAGACATTTCTCATGTGGCTGGTTTAGTGGAGCTCCTGAGTCAGCATGCAGCTACTAATCAGTGTTTTCTCCCTCTCAGCTAGCCTCACTCTGTTCCCCCAACTCTCTGGCCCGCCACCCTGTCAGCTCTGACTTAGAGTTAAACCAGCGAAGTGGATCAGAAACATGTATTTGAACCTTTAGCCATGTAGTTCGAAACTGCTAGCGACCACTCCTACCTTGTCAGATCAGTTTGGATGAAGAAGATAGGGCCTCTGTTATTGAAGACACTGAGTGCAAACACTTTTGAATCGGGATGGCAGCTGGATGAGAAGCACTAGCAGGGTCCGAAGATGTGTCTCTAAATTGTAGATTAGTGTACATCGGTTACTGTAACCTTTTAGATCAGATATAGGTCTTTGTGTTGGTAGGGAGAGAGCAAATGAGACTGCAAAGTTTGTGTGCACAGTGCTGAGTTAATGGAGCCCTCCTTCCTGAGATGATAGCATTTATTGATAAGGCTGTCCTCAATGAAGGATGTTAATATAGGATTCATGAAGGGGTATAGCTCTTGTAATGCAGTTGCCTTGGCAAGGCTTTGTCATCATATTTGAGATGTTTTTGCCTTTAACGATAAATACTGTATACTTATGTCCATGCTCATGATAAATATATAAAGAATTCAACACTTCCATGACCAATACTAGACTGATGCTAATTAACGTCTGTCCTTTTCATTTACAACCATTTGTAGTGATAAACCATCGGAAATTGTGTAAAAGTCTCAGCATTTACACATAAAATGTAAGAATTCAGTTCTAAATAATTTGTGCATGACCAGATCTTAGAATACAAAGATTTCCTCTTCACTCTGAAAGCGCAATTCTGAGTCTTACATCTGTGCTTCAACAGTAAAGAACAACCATAACAAATAGATTTAATCTCTTGCCCAGTCGTTACTACTTGCTACTGCAGCATAATTGTGTGGCTTTCATACATGAATTAATATGAATCCAGAGGGATTTGACTGCTAGATGTTATCTTTACTCTGGCAAACATGCCACATCAGGTTAGAAATGTGCCAAATGGTGGCACAAGAGTTTGTCTGCCTGACTCTTGCAGTTGACCTGCGATTAGGGATGTCTAGTCTAAAAGTAAGAAAACACTCGGAAAATAGTCAAAATTAAGCACAATTAATTTGATATGGTTAAACATTGTCTGAAGAAAACAATGCCAAATTGACACATCCTTATGGAGGACAATCTCCCCACGCTTTCTTTGATCAACCAGTTTGAAAAAAAAAAAACAAAATCATAAGCAGATCACATCTTGATGTATTGAGGTGTGTTTTGTTGTTGTAATTATGCAGTAAATTAAATTTAGAGAGTTGTTGTTGCCTGTACTGTAGCCGCTGTTTGGATGTGATACTGTTTCTAGCAATGAATCTCGGGTCTTTCCAGGTCAGCATGCCATATATGGTCCCTAGACTTTATATTTTTGTTGGAAATTTTACTCTAAGGCTCTTGGATAATGCATGAAGGACAGGAAGCAGGGGGGGACATTTCCAATTTAGTTGTTTGTCATCATTCCTGCAGACTTGTGGTGATGTCCTGGTCAACAGCCTGTAGCAGGATCACAATCTCAAATACCTGATTGACCACTTAACATAGTTTTAAGGGTTCTGGTCGACTCGCT